TGAAACAACAACATGATTTAAACCCCATTTAAATTATTATTAATAATAATAACAACAATAATAATACCCTAATAATACATTCATTTCTTGATATATATATATATATATATATATATATATATATATATATAAAATCTAGCATTTTCATAAACATGCACTTTTTAAAAATGTTTTAACTATTTTAAAAATCACGATCGCAATGTATATATCCATGCCTAATATCCGATGGCCACAAAGTGATTAATTTTTTATAAATTGTTAACATTTTTGCATTTGTAATGCAGCAAGTCCAGAAACTAATGTATAAACTGTTTTTAAATAAAATTCACTTTAATGTGCGATAGGACCACAGGACTAAAACGTGGCATAAAAAAATATTTTCTCAATTCAAATAAGTAGCAACTTGGACCCAGAAACAGTATTCCATATATTCCAGACTTGAAAAGCGGATTGTGCAAAATTAAATCCTGCTCTGCAGTATGAGCCAATTTAGTTCCCAAAATGGCATTTGTAGAACTAAATCTTTCCCAGTTCCTGCGTGCATACAAATAATCAATTTTTTTCAAAATGGGTACTTCCACAATTAGTTCTAGGAACTAGGAAAAAGTAAGTGCAAAAGCCCCTAAAGTGAACTTTGATTTTAAAATTAAATTTCATGATATAAATTGCATTGAATGCGCACTAAAAAACTTCTAAACCACACTACAGACCAGGGATCACCAAATTTGTTCCAGTAGGTCCGGTGTCCTGCAGTTTTTCTCTCCAACCCTAATCAAACTCACCTGAACAAGCTAATCAAGGTCTTACTAGGTATACTTGAAACACCCATGCAGGTGTGTTGAGGGAAGTTGGAGCCAAACCCTGCAGGGCACCGGACCTCCAGGAACGAGATTGGTGACCCCTGCTATAAACCATTTGAGTGTGGTCATGTCATTGGCCCTTAAATATTCCCTGCTTTTTATCAAACTATTACATAACTTTAACAAGAGGCAATTCAATCATAAATTGATGTTAAAACAGCTATTATAAATCACTTATCAATATGTAGCTCTTTTTGGATTCTCGGACACTATACAAATTAAAAATGTAAAACAGAAAATAAGTTAGGACAATTGTTTTTGTTTACATCCCTCAAAATGGTCTAGACTTAGAAAAGTAAAAGCTCATTAGCTGTTCTTTCTGCTTCGCTTCTGGCTGCGAACAGGGATTTTTCCAGAGCGTGTCATCATGGGTGATGGAGTGGATGTTTTCCTTGTGGAAAGCTTGATAGGCTGCTTCTGGCCAGTGGCTTGCTGCATGTGCTCTGCTTCAGTTCCTTTCATGAAAAAAAAACAAGCAAAACACTTCACTAACTGTTACATTACAAGACACAATTCTGCTCAAGAGCCATCTAAATCCACCTTTTTCCAAAGTGCCATTGCACTCCCGACTCTTGGTGTTGAAAATAAATCGGTCAAGTTGGCAGCGCAGGAAGTCCCTCTCCTCCTCCAGATCTTCAATGCGTTTCTGAAGCCAGGAGTTCTTCTCCAGAGAGATCTGCAGTTGAGCTCGGAGGCTGGTGATCAGAAGGTATGGACTGCAAGGAGGAATGGAACCCGATGCGGACTCTGCAGAAGCACAGATTTATGAAACACAAACTGTAGAGCTGATTTGTGATGATCAAACAACTTATGGCTGAGGAAAATACCATCAAACGGGTGGTCATTTGGACTATAGAAACCCGAATCATCCAGGTTGCTGTCCTCAAAGGGGATAGAGATTTCATAGCCATTTTCATTCTTCAAACCTGTATTAAGAAACATTTGAATATTTCTTAGTTGGGAGGCAGATACATGAAGAACGATAGGAGTTGTATTTACTACTGAGACATTATGAGATAATACTGATACAATAGATACTAAAGTGGGCAGAACATAAACTTTAGAGCTGGCTGAGGAAAAGCTGTGAGTGGTTTTCTTTATTAGCTGTTTTCCAATACAGCTACATCACCTTGTCTTTTCATTAAAGTTGACCCCTTAACTGTCACTGTCCCACCACCAGGACACTTAAGTTTACATCACTTTTTTTGCAATTAAATTCTAATCTAATAATGACAAACTATATATTGATGGATAGGTCTAAGACTTCGGAATAAATATTTTACCACTGTTTTTTTTTTACCCATAGGAACAGTAATGGATTAAAAGACATTTACTGTGTCACCCGACAACCCGTGGGACCTTTTGCAATCACACCATAGTAATACAATCTAAACAGAGCAATCATGACAAACTATGTTCCATTTGAAAGCTTACACTTTCTAGTTGCCATGTCTGATTTTTGATAGATATTACTTTACAGCAGTTATTTATAAATTTGCAACAAGGATGCTTGGAGTTCTAAAGCATTACTTTGCTACAGCAATCCACATATATATTTTAGATGTTTTATAGAGGCTAAATTCAAATGAAACGCCACCAGATTACCAATACTACTATTGAATGTTATGTCCACTTTACAAATATTGTCAAAAGTACGAAAACAACATGGTTCACATTCCTCAAAACACAGAGGGCGCCCTTGTACGGTCACCAATGGAAACTGTATGTCATCTAGGGGTCATGTCTGATACTGCAGCCAAACAAAACCTCACTAAAAGCTCATTTACTGAGATATCAACTTCAAATTTAGAATATAATTTGTTCAGATGTTTAGCCCGTCAAAATTCTGTTTGTAAAAATACATATTTTAAATGTTATATTAAAATATAATTTATTGTTTTATTATTTTTTTATAAACAAAAGCAGTATAACCTTTGTTTTATTAAACTTGTTTACATTTTTCACCCCAAAATGAAAACTCAGTCGTCATTTACTCTCCTTTACTTGTTTCAAACATTTAAAGGAATTTGAAGAACATTAAGAAGATATTTGAAGAGAGCTGAAAACATGCAAGCATTGACTTCCATAGTCACACATACTATGGAAGTCAGTGGTTATTTGTTGGTTTTCAGCTTCTTTTGTGTTCAACAGAAAAAAATAAATCTCATAAAGGTGTGAAACCACTTGAGAGTGGTTAGTGAGAATTTTCATTTTTGGGTGAACTACCCCTTTAAGGCTTTAATTATTTTAATAATTATGTTTTTAATTTGTTACAACATGTAAAAACAACATTTACTAGACTGAAGCACGTCCTATTTACTGAAGTATCTAAGCCTATACATATTTTATTTACATATTTATTTTATGCAACTTCTCTGTTTATGCAACTAAACTGTTATAAAAACATTACAAGCTGTAATAAATTATTCTTACTACTTAACAACAATAACTACACAACAACAACATCTACAAAAACTGCACATTTCGGCCCAGTTTGGAAAATTTAGTTTAGTAAAATTTGCATTAAAATTTGTATTACATTTGTGAGCTTCATATTTTCACCATATTATATTACTTGAACCATAACATATTAGGAACCATAGTGGCAAGTTCATTAGCTAGTAATCAGCTAGTTCTACCTTAACCTCCTAGGGCTTAGTGGCCACATACGAGGACAGCACATTTTATCTCTTATGTCTTATATTTTGTTACAGACATACAGTGTCATCTTGCAACTGTTTTGCAGCATATTAAATGTCCCAAACACTATTTTAGCTATCCAAAATGGGCTAAAAATTTTGTTTTTACTGATAGTCAAATAATTTTGAAAAATATGTGTGTATGTGTTATCAAAAAAACAGTCAGAAAAAAACTACTGTGTTCAATCAGAAATAAAGAGTTTTTTATTCTGTTACAAAAAGGTGACTTAATTGTGTTTTATGGAAATTCGGACCACGAGTCCACGTATATGGACATCATTTTTCCCAAAAAGTACATCTTATCAAAAGATGGCACTTAGGTTTTATTCGAATTAAGTATCCAATAAGCCAAAATAACAAAGAGAAACAGCTTGGGCCTTAAGAGGTCAATAAACTAGCTAGAAACCAGCTTCATTCACCCAAAACATCAGATTAAAAACATACGAAAAGCTAGTAAAATCTGACCTCTGGAGCTCCTTGTGCTTCTCTGTGCATCCGTCATGATGACATCAGTCACATGGACCTGCCTGATATTCACAAACCTGCAACCAAACATGAACTCGCTCAAAAAAGGAGGAAAAAACAGCTTCAGACCTAACCAACACCAAACACATAAACCGTGCAAATGCGTGACACGGAGCACGGCGTGTGTAATTAATAACAACCAAGCACAACTAAGTAGTTAATTAGTCATTAACAATAACAGGTAGTTAATTAAACATTAGTTAATTTGCTCGTGTCTCCCTAGCCCTTTTAAACAGAGTAACGGGAGACTGTTTCATAGGTGGCTTTACTTCTGAAATATATTTAACTAATATTTTATATAACGCTTGCAAGTATTAATAAGCGTTAATAAACGTACCTACTTCCAAATTCAACAGCGTTTGGTAAACAGCAAATGGGATTGAATCGTCCGCTTGTTGATTGGCTGTTGCTTATAGTGTCGATGGCTATATAATGAGGACTGAACTGACTGAACACGGTGCACTGCGGAGCGATTTTTATCCGGCTTACTTGGAAGTCGTGTGTCATGTGTGACGCGCTCTTGCTGACTGTGTTGCCAGATAAATTGCTTTTAGAATAAAATTGTTTATTTATACTCTGACTTGAAATCTTGATTTATTTATTTTTCTCTACTTATGTCTTTTTAAGTACAAGAGATTAGTTTATGGTAACGTTAGGCCCACTTCTCGTAAACTGAAAGTTTGTTTTCATTTTTTGATGAATGCAGTTATGAATGAGGACTCAAACATGTTCTGTCTCGTAACAAATACTTTTAATAACATGTTAAGTAAAGTTGTTGTAATTCACAGAAATATCGAGCATGTCAGAGTCTGTTTCTGGATGAAAACAGCACATTCCGGTGGTGTCAAATATCAACATGTCGGGGTAAGTGCGGAAGCAGCTTCAAACAGGTTTAGGCCATACCTGACTCAGCCACACCTGAAATGCGATGATTACTTTGTTTTTGTGAAGAGGAGATTCCGAGAATCAAGGTAAGTTTACTTAAAAATGTATTTGATATTGATAAAACCCCCAAAAGTTGTCTGTGTTTGTGTTATTTCTGTTAGCAGACGACATCGTCTATTTAGTGTTGACTCTCTTACGCAAATTGACCATGCTTTTACCACGCGACAGTGAAGTAAACACGATTTTTTTTTGCTGATTGACTGCTATTTGTATAACAACAGTTTTACTACAAATATTATGGTTAATGTAACAACGAAGTGAATTTGTGGTTACTATTGCTTATAACAACAAACTATGTCCTTTAAAAGAAAATTGAAGTAAAATATGGTTATTTTTTTGCCACGGGTGGGCACCTATGCCATGCTGGCCACTTTAAAGTTAGCAGTTTGTCTTTATGATCATATTTTACACTGCAAAAGAAGTGATTCAGCAAAATAACAGCATTGTTCAGAAGCACGTGTTGTAGTATAGAAAATTACATTTTTTTCTCATTTACATTGTGGTATTTTGCAACTTTAATCTGCATTATGCTATTTAGTGTTCATAAATGATCTAACAAAGAGTAAATATTCCTGTCTCTGTCTTTAACAGCTGCCATGGTGTGCTCCGGTGTCAGACACTGCAAAATTGCCCTGGGGTTTGCAGTTATTTTTGACATTTTTGGCTTTACCGCCCTGTTTCTGGGGCTCTTTGTGCCATTGGAATTGAAGGGGAGAGATTTCGGGGACCTTCTTGTCTACACTGGGGCTCTGTTAGTTCTGATGTCTCTTGGCGGTTGGGTGATGTGGTACAGTGGTAACATTGAGGGAATGGCAGCACAAAAAGATCTAGGAGGAATAGGCAACGCCGTGGACCGTTTGGCCCGCAACCTCAGCAGGAAAATATACACACATCATGTCAACAAAGGGCCTTGATTATGACTTTTTGATTATGGTGCACATAGCAGGACATGTGCCTCTTTTTGGCGTACAGATTTGGACATTCAAAGAAAAACAGTATTGTCAAAATGAGATTTGACAGATAAACTAGATATAGATATGCACTCTTTAATCATGTAAGCAAATAATATAATACTACCGTAGCAGTTCGATACGATACTGAACTAACAAGTGTCATATAACTTTACTACATTGTTACAAGAAATTCTACAGCACTGTAATCTTAACATTTCTACATGTTGTTTGTTTATCTTTTTTTTTTTTTCAACCCAACTTCTTTTGGCCAACTTTTTTCCAAGAGCATTGTTTATTTTCTATTAAGTTAGTTCTCAAAAAAATTGATTCTCAGCACATAAAATATATCATGTACAACAGTCAGTATTGCTATTTAGAAAACAAACTGGTACTTCATATGATCTCTAGGTGGAGACAAAGATGAACCTTTTATATCATAATAGGAGTTACTAGAGGTCATATGGCCTTAACATGAGTAAAATGAGTTTTGACTTGGTAAAATGTAATAAAAATGTTTTCTTTCTCCTGGACTATGGTTATAAAGTTAAAACAACAATTTATGGAACAAACATTAGCTTGACATAAAGTAAAGACGATTTTTTTTCTCAATATAAGACTGCTTTACTTATTTACATATTTATTTCATTATATCCGAATTCTTGAGTGTTTAAAGTTGATTAACTTTTTTCGGTCTCGTCTAAAAGTGTCTCCAGTAAACAAAAAAAGAAGCTTACAGTTAGTCTGAGACACAAAAACACAGGGCTTTATTTAGCTCCAGGGTCTTTTCCTGTTTTATACTTGATCTCTGAGGGCTTTTCTTGTTTTAAGCCTTCTAATGGGATTGGGACTTATTAGCACATGTGGTCTAAAAGTGGCATATTCTGTGTGGAGCAGACTGGAGTGCGTCAGGAAGATTTACACTTGATGCGGGAAAAGTAGGCTTGAATGGAGCTATGCCACATTCAAATACAATAAATAAATAATAAATAAATAGTTATGAAGATTTCATATAGATAACTGTTTAAAAGCAAACAAACTAAAATTAAATCAATGAAAATAAAACTTGTTTCTGTCTGGAACTGTGGCTATTAGGCATGGGCTGGTTTACAATTATGATTATGATAATCTGGAATAAAAATATCAGGGTATTGTAATTAGTGCTCTAAAATTTGAAACGTCTGGGTAAAAACCAACAACTGTTTTCCCCATTGAACACAATTTATTTCGTTTTAAGAAACATAAAATAATTTCAGCACAGTAAACATGTCAGGCAAAATAATTGGAAATAATCATTGACTTGTTGTCATCAATATTTTCAAAAACACTATTTTCTTGAAGCTTGAAAAGGCATCTTTAGATATCTTTCTTTTCTTTGGATATACATTAAGTCACTGCATGATTTAGGTTTATAGCAGGCTTGGATCTTGGTGTATAAGCGATTTGATTCACAAATGTTTTCTGAATCATGTGCTGAGTAGCTTTAGATGTGGAGGGTCCTTTTGTGTTGGACATAAATAAAATATGTCGAGGGAAAAAAGCTATGGAACGGTTGGAATAGTATTACAGATCATTTTAGGGGTTTTTAAAACACAGACTTTTTTCAAACCACGATAAACCTTGAAACTAGTTATCATTACATGCCTTCTTTCAAAATCTGCAAGACTGAACATGTTTAAAATAATTTTAACATATTATAAGGCTTTTCCCAGTACTGGGTTGCAGCTGGAAGGGCTTCCACTGTGGCGACCCCTGATAAATTAAGGGACTAAGCCGAAGGAAAATGAAATGTATTATAAGGCATTTTACACTGTGACATTTCAGTCTAGACTCTGCTTTGGAAACTTCAATAGAGTGAAGTCTATAGCTCATAAAAATGGTGTGCATAATACTTATGACAGAAGTTATAGAAAAAATTGAATCGAGATTTGACACATAATTTGCTTCAGCACACAATGAAAAAATAATAACAACAAATGAAAAGCATCATTTTAGTTTCCATTAAAATAATATCCTACTGTCAAGGAAACTAATAACGAGCATATGTTAGAATAAAAATCTGCACATTCATTACTGCATAAATTAAATACACACTCATTCTTATTAAGTAAGTACTGTGCAATTCCAGCGTGATGGATGTGACATTTGCAGTAAAAACTCAAAGCATAGATTCACAGAGAAAGTCTATTTTCACATTATATTGGAACATTTATTTATATATTTTTTAAAACAACTAACCACAGAGTTATGGAATCAGTAAAATATAAATCTCTAAACATTTTTTATTTTTTAAATAAAAAAAAATAATCATGCGTTATGAATGTGATCGAAAAAGTCTGCAAGTTTACAGTATACAACATTGTAAAATTTCTGTGAGTTAAACAGCACAACCCAAAATGAATAATGCTAACCAGAGGGATACGAGTTGGCTCACTATAGAACAATATTTATTTATTTAATTTAACATTTTTACATTTATTGGTAAAAAGCTTGGTTATGGATGTGACATGACATTGCCACTTGTGTGACTTTGGTAACTCAAATATGATTGTCTGAAAAACATTAAGAGAAATATGTTTGAGTGTTTTTAAAGTACTGTAAAATGTTTGCTTGCACAAAAAAACGTAGGTTTCGCTGTTTTGGTCTAAACTTATTTTTTTTCATGGTAAGGTTGACATCTGCATGGAATTGCTTTACTGTTATTTAGCGAATACCAGCAAATTTACCCCCTTTTTGGTTATCCAAGACTTGTTTTGCAACCAGAAATACATACTTTTTAAACATTTTTATAGTGCACCCAAAAGTTAGTTGGCTAGAAGTAAAGTAAATGTTCTAATACTAAAATACTAACATTTGTGTCAGTACTAGGTTTTCACACACACAACCATCTCCAGAGTTTACAGAGAATGGTCAGAAAAAAAGAAAACTTCCAGTGAGCGGTTGTTCTATGGCCGCATGCCTTGTTGATGCCAGAGCTCACAGGAGAAAAACCAGACTGGTTTGAGCTGATAGAAAGGCAACAGTAACTCATCATGTCTATTTCTTTATGACCACAGTGTACCCATCTTCTGATGGCTAATTCCAGCAGGATAACATGCCCTGTCATAAAGCGCAAATCATCTCAGACTGGCCTCATCAGTCACCACCATTCAATCCAATAGAGCACCTTTGGGATGTGGTGGAACGGAAGATTCGCTTCATAGATGTGCAGCCGACAAATCTGCAGCAACTGCAGTGTGCTATCATGTCAATATGGAGAAAAATCTATAGGAATATTTCCAGTACCTTGTTGAATCTATGCCACGAAGGTTTAAGGCAGTTCTGAAGGCAAAAGGGGGTCCAACGCGGTAGTAAGGTGTACCTAATAAAGTGGCCAGCAAGTGTACTTTTCACTATTAACTACAACATTTTTTTACACTCAAAAAAATGGTTTGCTGTTTGTTTAAACCACTTATTTAAAATGAGCTGAAACAACACAATTCTTGAGTTTTTTGGGGGGGACAACGTTAGTGATTGTTTTATGTTCAATCGCTTAAATTTGTAAAAACAAATAAGTTAAATTAACTTAAATTCTCCTTGTTGTCCCAACACAAATTGATTGTGTAACCAGCATTTTTACAGTATATTTAGTAAGGTCATTTTTAAGTTTAGTTTTGAGATTGGATTAAAATATTCAGAATACATTCATTCAGAGTAAAATGCATTAAAGTGATAGTTCACCCAAAAATCTAAATTTACTCTAGCTCGGTCCCAAACCTATGAGTTAAACACAAAAGAAGATATATATATATATATATATATATATATAATTATTATTATTTTTTTTTAGGGGTTTTCACCTTTATTTTTGATAGGACAGTAGAGATAATTGACAGGAAAGCATGGTGAGCAGAGAGAGTGGAAGGATCAGCATAGGACCACAGGGCAGAATCGAACCCGGGTCGCCACAAGCACCTGAGTGCATGTGTCGACGCACCAACCACTACTCCACTGGCGCCGACCAAAAGGATATATTTTGAAAAAAGGTGGAAAAACTGTAAGCATTGACTTCCATTTTATAAGAAATATGGAAGTCAATGGTTACCAGTTTCTGACTTCCTTAAAAATATCTTCTTCTATGTTCAACAGAAAATGATAAACAGCATTTTCAGTTTTGGGTGAACTATCCCTTTAATGTGTGTGTATTACGCAAACACATAAGTAATTAGTTAAAAGTGAGAACGAGTCCCCATACAGAAGTGTAACAGATTAGGCTTTAGTCACTATAGATTAGTCACGGTAGATAAGATCTTGGGACATCCCCGCTGGTGGAGCACTTAGAGTAAACTGATGTCTTGTTTGGGTTTGCACTTAATTAATTATAGGAGGACGTAATTAATTGGATGCCGGTCATTAAAGAAACAGCTCGCAGAGTCTCGGCTTTACTCCTGTCCACGCTGCTGTGCTCTTATTGTTTTCCTCCTTATAAAACATTCCTTGCAGTCATGTTTATTTCTGTTCTTTCTCAATATAGAGCAAAAGTTGAGGGATTGTGTGAGGCTGGGTATGCAGGTCGAGGCAGACTAGGTAGCCTACAGTAAGCTGATCAGAAGAAGGCTACCAGGATGTATTTTTGACCCAGAGAAACTCCAGTGCTTTAAAAGGTATAATGCAGATTACAAACAAGCAAATCTTGACCAGAACAGCTCTTGTTTTGTAATAAAATCTCGTTCAAACATCTATGCTCATTATTAGGCTGTAAAAATATCTGTAAATTAGCAGGTTTGTGTTTTCAGTTTATTTGTGCTTTTGAATTGCATTATGGGACCTTGATCTCTCTTCCAACAACTTTTAAGCTTTAAAAATGTGAAAACGTGAGTTTTATGAACATTTTTAATAGTTTAAAGTGATATATATTGTCAAGGTTGGTGTTGTATATTACAGTACAAAAACCTTGTAATAAGCTGCCAGTACATTTTCTGTTATTTATTTCTCTCTATATATTATTTCTTATACATTACATAATTTCAAACTACTAAAATGTTAATAAAAGTCACTTTGTTAAACCTTAAAGTTAAATTTTCAACATCAAAAGTGGTCAGAGCAGAGATAAAGGTCCCGTTAAGCAATTCCCAACCGTAAATAAACAGAAAACAACTGTTAAATAACAGTTTTTTTTTTACAGAGTCATTTGGACCAAAAAAAAGAAAAGAAAATCCGAAGCAACAATAAATTACACCCAGAAATTGTAAATCTTGTAGTTCAACACAAAGAAATGGCAAGTAATACATTAAATCAAACAGGATATTTTGAAGCAGACTGAATTTGTATTTAAAATATATACTCCATTTATTTTTTTTACAATGTACAGTAAATAGCCAAACAAATACCTGATCAATCAATCAATCAATCAATCAATCAATTGATCAATCGATCAATAGATAATTCTCAGATCAAAATATTCAGATCAAATATTTAATAATCTGTAATTTTATATTTCATTTTTATATTTATTTTCATTTACTTCAGTAGTAATCCAATAATTTTACCCAAATATTTTCAAGTAACAGGCCTGTATCGAGCCTATAGGGGTGTTTTTCTTTCGAAAAAGTAGACCTTTTTGCAGTTATTTGCCTAATTTTCTATTTAATTATCATTTTAGTGACATTTTAAGAATGCTGGATTAGCCTGTGGGATGGGGATCATAACAATTTTTTTTTTGATGCACCAAAAATAATTCTGTTAAAGTGCTCACCATGTTATTTTACCACAAAGTGTTTATTTACAAATGTGCATTTAAACTGTAAATAAATCCAGTTTCATAAATCTTGATATGAGATTAGCATCTAAAAGATTATTTAGGAATATGAAAAAATATTTATTTGTACATACAAATGTGTCATCATCCATCATTAAAAAAGGAAATCTGATAAAACTTGTTTTAAAATAAGAACTGTAGCCTATGACCAAATAAAAACTCGCCTCAGTCAGTCAGAATTTAGCCACTTGAATAATTAAAAATTAAATTTGCCTTTGAGCCTTCTTCTATCAAAAATTTTCTTAATTTATTATGGCATAGCAGTCAAAAATGGGATAAATGAGCTCAAATAGGGGTCAAATTCTGGACATGTTAGTAATAGAGAGAAAATAAGAGTGTGTTAGTGACAAGAGTTTATAAAACCTATAAATATATGATAAATTTGGGCTATTTCATTTTTAGAGGTATTTTTACTGGGAAATCCTGACAATAGTTTGCATTATGTAAGATAAAACTGAATAAAAAGTAGTATTACACTTTTCAAATCTCTACAAACAGCGGTCAAAAATGGGATAAATGAGCTCAAATAGGGGTCAAATTCTGGACTTGTCAGTGGGTCTTTCAAACCACCCGAACTCCCCTGGCTACGGGCCTGAGTAATTTGTAGTTAGTCGATTAACCACAGTAAAAATAGAAGCTAGCGGTTAAGTTTTACTTTCAAGGGTCAGTAAATTACCCTAAGATGCTGTAAATCTGGACAGCATGAGGAGGAGAAGACCATCGCCGCTTAACTAAATGAGATTTACAGAAATCCCTCTCTTTTAGACACTAATAGTTGACATCAATACACAGGTTGAGTGTATTATTCTGGAACACCGTGTTTGTTTTGTGCACTCAAAGATGAAAATCATTACTGTACTACGCTGAAAAAAATGATTTCTGCAAAACTGTTGCAGGCGGTTCATTCTGCTGTGGCGACCCCAGATTAATGAAGGGACTAAGCCAAAAAGAAAATGAATGGATGGAAACTGTTGCAAACAATTTATATGGGTTGAATTTAAACAAACAGATTAAATGTAGTAATGTTCAACTTAATTTGTTTGTTTAAATTCCGCCCAAATAAATTGTCCACAAACACTTTAATTAAAAAAGGAATCATCTTTGAATCATCTTTTTAGTGTATTTATTAATATAAAATAAGTAAAAAATGGTAATAATTTTACAGTCAAAGTTTACACATTTTAATATTACACATGACTGTGTATTTTTTTAAGGTATTTGTCATGTCACAAATCATTTAGCTGAAACAGGGAAAGTGTAAAAAACGATGAAAATAGGGTTATAAATAGGAGAACAGAAACAGGGCAGATCATTATGAAATGTAAATCTGTTTCTGGCTGAGCCCTGTGCAATCTTGCATAATTGACTTATCCTAATATGGAGAGGCAGCACCTCCTTCAACACTGGATCATTACTCAGACACACTCTTCCTTCATTACTTGCCCCTTCATTCTTCATCCTTGGATCACTAGCACAGGTAAGCATGCAGTTATATATCTCTTTAAAGTTTACTTCTACTAACTGGCATAGTGATTTTAACCAGATATGTGTTAATGTTAATCACTTATCATTAATATTTTTAGTTTGTGGCTTATATATCTTATACATTTGATTTTCTTCTGAGGTTGTTTTCATTTATTAATTATCATGTCTTAAGTTCATTTCTACATGTTGTTCTAGCTACATTAAAAGAATCATTGCAATCAACTTATTGTAGACTAAATTTACACTTACATTTAATCATTTGGCACTCTTTAATCCAAAGTAACTACCATAGAAGTAATCCAAACAACATGGAATTAAAATGACAACTTCCCTGTTAGTCAAATGAACTATAAAAGTTATAAATACTTATAAAACTGTTTGTCATAGGAGAAAAATAGAAACTAGAAAGGAAATAAAATGTTGTTATTAGAAAGTCTGAGCAAATTTTATTAAAATTAAGAGTAGAAAGTGCAAAAACATGTTAGTAATAGAGAGAAAATAAGAGTGTGTTAGTGACAAGAGTTTATAAAACCTATAAATATGTGATAAATTTGGGCTATTACATTTTTAGAGGTATTTTTACTGGGAAATCCTGACAATAGTTTGCATTATGTAAGATAAAACTGAATAAAAAGTAGTATTACACTTTTCAAATCTCTACAAACAAAAATGATGAACATTGCCTCTAATTTATCAGTAGATAATGTATGTATGAGAGATTGCCTTAAGAGAATATTTACAGAGATAGTTTACTCCCCAAAATTATTTCATTACTATTTACCTACCATAAAGTTTTTCAAATCTGTGTGAATTTCTTTAAGTAAAAAAGGGGGAATATATATATATATATATATATATATATATATATATATATCTCAAAACACCTTTATGTTTAACCATTTTGGAACCTGCATGGATTTCAATGGACATCACGATAAATTGTGTGTTTTTTTTGTTTTGTTTTTTGGTCCTGGGGCAGTTCAACAGTTTTAAAGCATGATGTCTATGATATTGTATGTTTTTCATTCAAACAAATGGCATTAATGTCCACTATGCTGAAGAAAAGCATTGCAGCACTTTGTTCCAACACAACAGCAACACAGCAACGTTTTTAATAATTTTATTCACATTTATTAACATGTTGCCAATATTTCATATTGTATAGAAAAAAATGATTCCTTTTTATAAATGAAGTTAAAAAGGGTTGTAGAACAGCAGGCTTTGAATCTGGATTTTTAAAAATGTGTCTGTCCATTATGACCAATGGGTTTCAATGTTAAAAATGTCTGTTTTTTGTAATTGACAGTGGTTTAAAGGAATAGCTCACCAAAAATTAAAATATAATCACTATTTTATTTACTCTCAAGGGTTTACAAACACTTATTAGTTGTTTTTTCTTCTGTTGAACACAAAAGAAGAAAGCTGAAATCTTTAACCATTGACTTCATAGTTAAATTACCATAGAAGTCAATGATTACATGTTTTTAGCTGTCTTCAAAATATCTTATTTTGTGGTTAACAGAAGAAGTAAATATTGTTTCATTTTTGGGTCAGTACCTGTATGGGAGACCTCATGGGAAAACTAGGTTGCTTTTGGAAGTGGTGTTAGTGAGGCCAGCAGGAGGCACTCAACCTGCAGTCTGTGTGAGCGAAGGGGACACTATAATGTCAGTGAGCATCATATTTCAGATGAAATGTTAAACCGAGGTTCTGACTCTCTGTGGTCATTAAAAATCCCATGGTACTCCTCGGTGTCTTGGCCAAATTCCCTCCATCGGCCTTTATCCATCATGGCCGCCCAATCACCCCCTTCCACAGAATTGAGTCTATCACTGTTTCTACACTCCACCAATAGCTAGTGTGTGGTGAGCGCACTGGTGCTGTTTTCCTGTGGCTGCCCTCGCATCATCCATGTGGATTTTGCACACTGGTGGTGGTGTGGAGAGACTCCCCTCATGATTGTTAAGTGATTTTGTGTATGGCCATAGACAATAAATGCACTATATAAATACACATTTCATTACATTTTTGGGTCATCCTAATCTATTGCTTTAAGTGCAACAAACCATCAATGGTTCAGTCTTCACCACTTCAGCACTCAATTGTCAATCTCTTCCCTCTCACTCAGACAGAAGTCATGGGAAACGCACAGAGCGGAGGGATTCCCAGAGAAATCCTGGATGACCTGAAGCTCACCACCAGGTTCTCCGAATCTGAGATCACCCAGTGGTATGAGAACTTCCAGAAGCAGTGTCCTACAGGTCGCATCACACTGCAGCAGTTCGAGGAGATCTACGGTAAATTCTTCCCTGACAGCGATGCCACCACTTACGCCCAACACGTTTTCCGCTCCTTTGATGCCAATGACGATGGAACGTTAGACTTTAAGGAGTACGTTGTGGCTCTTCACATGACCTCCTCGGGCAAGTCCACCCTAAAGCTGGAGTGGGCCTTCTCACTGTTTGATGTGGACAAGAACGGTTACGTCACAAAACCTGAAGTGATTGAACTCAGCCAGGTAAGGAAATTATTAGTTTATCCTACATAAAGTGTACAAGAATGGGATGTTGGACAAACACTACTCTACAGATATACTCTGTTTCTAATATATCTGTCATACACTCAAAAAAAAAAAAATGACTCGTTCAAACTACTTAATATTACTTAAATTAGTTGGAACAACACACATTTTTTAGGGGGCAATTTAAAATATTTTAAGTTCAAACCACTTAAATGAGTAACAATGATTAGGATAACTTAAACGATTTGTGTTTGGACAACATGAAGGAATTGTGTGGAACCTAACATTTTTTTTTACAGTGTAGACCAGGGTTGGCCAATCCTGTTCCTGGAGATCCACCTTCCTGCAGATTTCAGTTGCAACCCTTATCAAACACACCTGTCTGTAATTATCAAGTGGGTTTTAGGTCCTAATTAATTGGTTCAGGTGGGTTTGATCAGGGTAGGAGCTAAACTGTACAGGAAGGTAGATCTCCAGGAACAGGATTGAGCACCCCTGGTGTAGACCATGCTTAAATTGCGATATTGTGATATCAAGCAGATACCTCAAACCTCATTGGTTAAACAAATATGTACTTCCGCTCCCAAATTTCTTATTCGATGTTTGACGTAATCTCAACTGAAACATGAGGAGGGGGTGGGACATAGAGTAGCTCCTCCCTTTAAAAAAAAACAGGCAATAGCATTTTGTTTCATCACAGCTTTATCAGTGTGACTAGTTGAGCTCAAGCGCATCAAATAAAAAGTATGTTGAAGGGGTGGGGCATGTCAGATACTAGAGAGCATTTGATTGGTCAAAAGACTTGATGAGAAACTGAAGTATGAGGTGACCTGAAAAAAAAAACGTTGATCCTTGTAGGCGGAAATGACAAACTGCAAGCTTTGCATATAAGGTTTATATCTTCTAAACACAACTTTTTCAAGAAGGGTCTGGATGCAGACCTGGTGCAGTGCAATCTGAGCTGCATCCAATGCTTTTTAATGGGCTCACCTAACCCCACCCCTGACCCTACCCATCACAGTGACATCACTCACTCCATTTGAGTGCATTGTGTCTTACATTGCATCGCTAAGTGATGCAATCTCAGCTTGCATCATTAAGGCTGCGTCCAGATACTGTTGACTTTTTCACAATTTTTGAGAGCATCTTACGTACACAGTGATACTAACATCTAAAAAAACTTTATTTTCATTTCACAGGACCTTTAAAGCCAGAGTATTAGTGAAGTGAAGAGTAACACCATTTTATTTAGATATTTAAAAATCTATTTAACAATGCTGATAAAATATTGTTAGTGTAAACCTTTTCTGGCAGTAAAAGTTCCATCACAATCACCGTTGAGAAATCAATGGTCAGTTTTTCATACTTCTAATTTAGTAATTCTTAAATAAGTCTTTTATACTTAATATCTGGAAAAAAATGAACGTCATGGTTCTAATTTGTTGTCATCAGCAAAGTTTAGTGTTGTGTAGACTTGCCTAATCTCATAGAATTAAGTTAAATAAGTTTAAAAACACAAAACCATTTGTGAACACGTATAGACAGAACAATTTTCATTGACGCTTGTCAGAGAAAAAAACGTGATCAAAATGGTTAATGCATTTGTGAATACATTAAGATAAACAATACTAACACAAACTCTGCATATGGTGCAAATTGACGTCAAAATACCATTGCTTGGACAAAAGCTTATTTTCCGAATCCAAGGTGAAATCTATTAAATCAGATAAATTTATCATCTGGAACCAATTTCTAAAATCATGTTAATTGTTTGTAGGGCTGTTGCGATACTGGAATTTGCTACCAATCAATACTGTAATTTTAAAAACATCCATTTCCTGCTAACATTTAAGCGCTGTTGAGCACGTTCTTAAACAGCACTGATTTGCCATTGTGTTGATTTGCCGTGAAGGTCATCAGTTCACTGAACTCACCGCTGTTTACTGAGTGGGACACTGGAGCAGTTTAAAGGCGTGAAGATCAGCTGGTTTGTCTATAAGCTGACATACAAGCGATTCTCTGATGAATCACGGCTTTATGGACGTTTTTAAAATTCCAGTATCGTGACAACCCTAGTTGTTTGTTATATGTTGTTATCATTGTTTTGGACTTAGCGATTCTTGTAGAATTAATTAAAACTATTTTAAATACTTCATAACTATTGTAAAACAACACTGACACCCTTTGTGAATACTATTAGATAAGAAACACTAACAAAAACTTGATGTAAAATTTATTTTTTGCCAACAAAATCCAACCATTTATGAAAATACAACTCTTTAAAGTCAGGTAGATTCTGGTGGACTGGTGGATTTAAGCATCCACCATCTTTCAAAAGTGTTTCTTTTTGTCGTTGTTGAAATTTGTGACTACTCTTGTTCAGGTCATTGTGAGGAAGGGTGAATAAGTTCTCTGTCCAAACTTTGCTGGTCATACAAATTCGCTTGAAATCTGCAAGATTTTTTAATTGAGTTGTTCTTCATACATTGCAACACTACTAACGGAACAACTGCCTGCAAAACGTCATCAAAAAGTTACAGTTTTTTGAATGCGTCTCAGATTCAGAGTCAGGTCGTTTTGACTGGGACGATCACAACACAAAGAGCATCAAACATCAAACTGACCTAAGATCAGCGATTAGAGTGACATCACCCTTAAGCTGAAGCTCTATAAGAACTGATTGCGGCGAGAGGTTGAAGGATTCATTGGTGGGCACTGTGAGAGAGATAATCCTCAATATGCAATCAGGATTTAAGAGCACGGGCACGGGGGAGATTCAATGACACGTCAACTTATAAGCCTTCTTCTCAGTAATGGCTGATCAATGTCCTAGGGAGTAGAGTAGGGTGTTGGGCAGAGATGTTGTACTGTAGTTTAGATGAATCAAGAGAACAGATATCCTATGATCCCGAGGTTAACTTCCATTCAAAAATAAACTACTGTACAGTGTAATATTATGTCACGGAAGGTTTTTTTGAACTATGGAATATGGGAATGCATATATATCTCATGTCTCTGCTTTTTTCTTGTGAAGTATGAGTAACAAAAATTATTTTATATGCACACAGACTTAATTTTCAGAAAGCCAGCACAAGTGCTTCTGGGGAACTGACTTTCCATTACAAAATCTCTATGTTTAAGATCTAACTTCTTTAGAAATCAGTGATCTTCACTGCCTGATAGATATACGATATAAAGTGGGTCTCAGACTGGACAAGAAGAACTGCATTAAATGTAATTTTTCCATGCCATGTCTTTAAAATATTAACATTTATTTTACCTTTAATTAGAATTTTTAATGAAGTTTCTGTGCTAGCCTGCTGCTACCGACGGTAGTGTTTACATGGTCTCTTATCTCGTTTTATGCTTGAACAACTAATTGAATACCTAAGTATATTTACCTGGATTTATTTTAATTAAATTACAACATTGGTGCTGTAAAGGGAACTCTATAAAATTGAAAATAGTCACATTAACCTTTCACAGGAAGTTGAAAAACGTTAGCTGTGCATATTCCTCATTGAGGTGCGCGTCAAAGTGGGGGTCTGCTGTTTTTCCCATTTGCAGTAGTTTTAATGTTATGCTGACTTGACTGTGAAAGAACGAGCTGGTTCAGTTTTGACACAAGTCACACAAAAACACTTCAAAAATCCATATAATTGACATAAGCTTTTGCTCCTCCATATTGTCTCCAAACTATAGTCGTTCGGTCAATACAGAAAATACAGCCAATATTTTGAATTGTCTAATTAAGGCTACATGTGCATGACAATGATGTTGCCACAATGGAAAAGGTTTTTTCCTTGCGTTTTGAAAAAGTTTTACGTCTATGACAAAGTTTCAAAATGATCTGCAGATAGGAAAATTTGCCAAAAACACCATATGCCAGGAGATTATTTGGCGTTGTCACCCAATTAGTAAACTTTGGTGGTCGTGTCTATGAATTATTCTCCTAGTGTGTAGCTTCTCCGCTTTTAATTGTCATGTGTAAAGTAATCCACACGTTGCTGATTAACCGTTAGGAAACATTTAAGCAACAACAAAACAACATAATTGTTTTCAATGTCGGGAATATCATTTTAGGTGTTAACATGGACTTAAAAACATTTTTTATTATGTTTTTAATATATCCATTTTTAGTCCCTAATTTGTTTCGTTTTTATGATCTCAATCTTACATTTTAGCACAATTTGCTCATCTCATTCACCCCACATTTAAATACGTGAAGTAGGAACCTTTCCTCATGAGATCGGGCTGGTAAGCACACACTGCAATTTTTTCATCAGCTGCTGATTGACAGTTTATACTGTTTGTCAGCTAGTTATAATTTGAGGTATCACAATGATATAGTATATTAATGAAATAAATAAAGGTACAAAACCTGCCACTGGAGTGGTTCCTTTTTTAAAAGGTACACATATGTACACAAAACATATGCACCTTAAAGTTACATTGTAATACCTAAAAAGTACAAATGTGTACCTCATAGTACCTTAAACATACAAAAGCATACCAAAAAGGTACAACATTGTACTTTTAAGGTGCAAATGTGCACATTTAAGGTACAAAAGTGTACCATTTTAAAGGTGATGAAGTTAATTACTGAATCCCAGTTAATTCTGAGAGTGTGATAATAAAAGTAAAATCATTATTGCAATTGTAGCTATAGTACATTTTTGACTAATATTAAAATATTGTTTTATATACAGTATTTGTAATAAAATTAGATTTTCTGTATGTTGAATTTTTTACTATTTTCAAAAATGTAAATGTGGACTGAATCATTGAATTGAAATTCAATTCATTTACTATTTCACAAAAGGTCATTAAAAGTTCATGCAGATTTAACTTTTGGGTTAGAAGACTGCACCAGGTATCCCTGTGCTCTTTATCTTGCCAAAGCTCTTAAGCAAGATTGACACAGCTGGCGCTATTTCATCCATTTGTTTTGACTTATTGTTAGGTAACTTAAGCTATATTGGGGTGAGCTGAATCAGCAATGCAAACAAATTAACGAACAAGCTAAGCTTGAAGAAAAGAGTAAGATTGAAACATACAGGGATCTGAGGGAACGCAAGGAGAGACACGTTACAGCTAAGCTAAGCTTGGATTAGAGAACAAAATAACAGATTTGGAAATACGCCACTTGTGTAATAAGATGTTATCCAAAGAATAGGTTCAAAGTGTTCAACTATAACATCCCCTCAAAAGTGCATCTAGCAGTCACCCTAGGTGAAATAATAATAATAATGTTTTATTAAAGGAATTACATCCTAACATGGAAAATGTTGAGATTTATTAAAACAAATTGACAAAGTCTTTGTGGCACAGCCATATGCGTGAATCTATAATTACAGATGCCATTTCAAAATGTGAAAAACTGTTTAGAATTTTTTTCCAATTTGATACTTAAAACTTTTAGTTTTAGTAATTAAGTGGATTTCAAACACAGTGGAATGAACCACCAACTTATCCAGCAAACACAGCGAACACCCTTTCAGTTGCAACCCAGCACTGGGAAACGCCCATACACTCACATTTACAGACATACACTACGGCCAATTTAGCTTATTCAGTTCACTCATAGACTGTGGGGGAAACCAGAACACCTGAAGGAAACCCACCCGAACATAGGGAGAACAGGCAAACTCCACACAGAAATGCCAACTGACCCAGCTGGGACTCGAACCAGTGACCGTTTTGCTTAGTGTTGACAGTGCTAGTGCTAACCACTGAGCCACTGTGCCAACTGTGTTACATCAGTTTTATATTTTAAAGGCAACAGTTTTGCCAAGTTTAAACTTTTTCAACTATTTTAGCTCGTTTGCTACTGCTAAGAGCACATGGCACTAATTCAATCATGAGTAAAAGACTATTAAACAACCCACAGCAATAAGGTCGCTGGTTCAAGCCTCGGCTGGGTCAGTTGGCGTTTCTGTGTGGAGTTTGCATGTTCTGCCTGCGTTCACATGGGTTTCCTCCAGGCGCTCTGGTTTCCCTCACAGTCCAAAGACATGCGGTACAGGTGAATTGGGCAGGCTAAATTGTCAGTGTATGAGTGTGTGCGTGTGTGATTGAGAGTGTGTGCGGATGTTTCCCAGAGATGGGTTGCGGCTGGAAGGGCATCCTCTCCGTAAAAACGTGCTGTATAAGTTGGCGGTTCATTCCGCTGTGGCGATCCCGGATTAACAAAGGGACTAAGCCGAAAAGAAAATGAACGGTAACCTTTTTTTTTTTACTTTTTTTTTTTTTTTTTTTTACGAAGTAAATCTTGGTGTAGAAACTTATTTTCTCAGTGGCCACACATACCTTTCAATGCTTCAGATCTTAAAAGTGAGGGCCATTGTCATAATTTCCTATACCTTCCATAATTGTGGGAGATAATTACTTAAATTTATAGGGAAAGTACAGTACAGAAACAGAACTGACACAAGATGTATGTTTTTATAAGATACAAGTTATTTTTAAACCATTTCATTTATTCTAATTAGAAAAAATTACCATGTTAATACATTAATTAATGAAATATGTGACCCTGGACCAAAAAGTTAAAATATTTATAATATACAAAAGGATTATATTTGGCTGAGATGCAGCCATATATGCTGGAAGTAGAATTGCATTTTCACCAATACACTGTGGGAAAATTTAATGTGTATTAAAAAAAAGTCAAATGTATAGCAAAAAAGGTTAAATGTATTTGTATTGTACTGATACTGAGTTACATTAATTAAATTAGAAAAAATATTTTCAGTTTTATTTAGCAACTTACAGCAATACATTTTGTATGTAATTTGTATGTTAAAAGTGTAATTGGAAATGACAAATGTAAATTATTTAAATGAATTTTCATTTTGAGCAAACTTTGCATATTGTCTTGGAAAAGGCTAATTAAAAAAAACATTGCCGTCTTTGGTATTGCATTCCCATTTTACATATTAGATTTCAAAATTACTTTTGCTACTTACATGCTTCCATACATTTAGGCTTTTCCCACAAATTTTACAATAATAGAAAAAAATACACCGTCTAGTTCACACAAGAAAAAATGTGGACCTTGGACACCTTTGGGGCTAAAACGTAAGCATACATTTTGGCCCCAATGACCTTCCATACAAATGTACCTACATTTATACAATCACATCATGTGATGATGATTTTGCTTCAGATGTCACTCTGATAAACTCAGCAAGTTAATTTAAGCCAGACACCTAGTAATTTGATCAAATTGTCTCTGATTTTTCTGATCAGGCCATTTTCAAACTCATCCCCAAAGACAAGCAGACAAGTCTTCCCAACGATGAGAGCACGCCAGAGAAAAGAGCAGAGAAACTCTGGGCCATCTTTGACAAAAAGGACAACGGTAAGAAAACTATCGGACTGCTTTATTCAATATTAGCACATTAACAACGTTAATAAACCCAATTCTCTTTCACTCCTGCAGAACGAGTGGCAGAGGGGGAGTTCATTGAAGCCATCCAGTCAAGCGATGATGGTCTACGGCTCATTCAGTATGATCATAAATGAGCCAGCATAATCATTATCCTATAACGCGAGTTTTTTTTTTTCATGCTTGAATGTATGTGTATTTGTTGCTTATTAAATGTGTTAAAGGTTCACCATCATAAAGGTGCTGTCTGTACAGTTTTGACTCTTCTAATTCATAAAAAATACCACAATATGTTAGCAGATATAAGGAATATAATAAATTAACATACTACTTTATCTGAAAAACAATGCTATAGTCAGTTATTCTCCTTTGAAAATGTACATTCTGTATTGCTATGTCTGTCTTTGTTTTGGTCTGTGTAACTCCACCCACTGCCAGTTTACCTAATTCTATTTTGGCACTCCAGGTTGCCATGTTGGGAAAAAACCCTCCCCACTCCAAGTGTATCTGTGGACTGCAATAGAGGGGCGTAACATGAAGGGGGCGTGACTTACAGTTGTAAGTTAGAGGCGTAACATGCAGTTATCAAGATCCCTTTGACCCATGGCAGATGTCAATGAGATGTTGTTAGCAAGATGGTGGAAATACTTTCCGAAGAACATTTTCAGCAAATGTTTTCATATTCTCCACATTTATTCATAACATATTCATTTGCTATATTATTATTTTCATTCGTTCATTAAGCAACTGTACTCACTGACTTCCACTGTTGCCAACTATTTTCAACAAAAAGGCACTTAGCTGTGCCTGAAAAGTCGCTAAAAGTTGCTAGATTACATCATACATTAATTTGCATATTACTGACGTCATCACGTTCTACCATTTCTGTTTGTTTAACAGCCTACGGTCAATAAAGGGGTATTTATATTTGCACTACACTTTGTGTAAGCATGTCAATTTAACTAAATTTATTGCTGTTTGGATACAGCATATCATAGATGTGTGGTGAATTTGCAGTAATCTCTCAGGCGTAATAAACTCAGACAAGTTCTGAAATTGTCACTTAAATCTCTTTGATTGTGAACAATAAAAGAATAACCGGTCAAGTTATATTGTTAAAATAAAGAAGAAGCAGATCGGTTTGACTGTACAAGAGAAATACCTTAACACTTCCGGTGCTAAATCATTTGCCGTCAGTACGCAGAGGGGGGATCTGCAGGTGGGAGAGGCTGCTGTACGAAGACTGGGCCGCCTGTCAGTGCTCAGAGCCGGGGGAGGGGCTGATGGCATCACCTGCAGCTCGTTAAGAAGGGTAACGCCCCATTCACACGGGGCTTCAGCGCCAACGCTTCCTATTTACTTTGAATGGGTGATGTCAGGCGTTGCCGAACTGCATTGTGGATCCATCGGCACCACTTCAGAGGCGTTGCTCGGCGCAGAAGTTGGGACTAGTTCAACTTTTCAAGCGTTGACGGAAGCGTCAGCCAATCAGATTGCTGAATGCAAATACACCAGTTAGACAGTGGCCTATTGCTGACAGAATTTCATTGGCTGATGCTGCTATGACGATCGCGGCAACCTTAACTTCAGACATGCCTTCAGTCAAGCGTTGACCCTGAAGCCCCTGTGAATGGGGTGTAAGGACGGAAATGACAGCCTATAAAAATCTCCAGTAACACACAAAAAAGTCACCAGATTTGTCGCTAGTAGCTTTTTTGAAAATTTGTCGCTAAGGGGGGGTCTGAAAAGTCGCTAAATATAGTGACTAAGTCGCTAAGTTGGCAACATTGCTGACTTCTTCACCTGTTTTGGCATGACAGTTAACCTACTCAACGTTGCCCTCCTGTGGTTGTAAATAACAGTACAATGACCCCATGTATAATGATAGAAATTAGGTCTGAACCTGTCGGATCCCATCGGGTTTCTTCAGGTTTGGGCAAACATCTTCAGCTCTAATATAGACGTTAACAACTGTGATGGTTGGGTTCAGGGTTGTGGAAGGTTTAGACACCATTAACTGTGATGGTTGGGTTTAAGTGTCGACGTTAATAACTGATGTACAGTGTCATATTGCCGACAACATAGCTTTTACATGTGGGTCTCCGTAACTTGAAGTTACGCCTCTAACATACTACAAGTTACACCTCTTCATGTTACGCCCCTGTCTTGCAGTCCGCAGACAGACCCTACACTGAATTTGGACTGCAATACCTAGTTCAACCACAAGATGTCAATCCTACATACTGCACCTTTAAATTTGAGTGCCGCCATTTTATAAGCAATATGTTAATTTTGTTTTTGTGTCATGAACATATTTGACTTTTTGTCATGCGTTTTGTTGTGATTTAGAGCTTTATATGCTTTTCACCTTGTTTAAAGTCTACTTTTATTTTGATAGTCTTAAAGTGAACAATCGTTCTATGGAAGTTGATACTTAAAAACATTTGTTTAGGTAATCTTTGATCCAAATCTGGTGACGGGTTGGGTGAAATACACCTACACCCCTCAAGTTGTTAATTTATTGCAACTGAAAGATGAGAGGAGGAGCAAAAAATAAGACCCCGCCCCCTACTGAATATTAAAACGTCATCCTACTGTCATTAAAGTCTGCAGCAAACTATAGTTTCATGCAGATTTTAATCGCATACCTTATATGATCATTCGTAATTAGTTTTGGATTATAGTTTGTAGGTTCATGTTCAGTTGATGTGCTGTTGATTAGTCTCACAAATGGGTTTTGATGGAAATAGTCATGTTAAATTTGTTTGATAATTCTCAATGTGTTGTTGATTTCATTCAAACAAGATTTTTATGGTTTATTTTTTGCACTACATTACATTTGTTTCTAACAGTATTATTTCCTTACAGTTGTGTAAATATTACACAATCAAAAGTAATTTGAATGATTATATTTTTTGTTATTTCTTGATTTGAATATTCAAGTTTTGGCCTGGTTTTGAATATTTAAGAATTTGTGTGTGTCTGCTTGTATTATAACTTGAACATGCTTCCTATCTTCACCATAAACAAGACTACGAAACATAAGAAAAAGCTCTTGTCTCTTGTGATTGTGGTTTTCTTTTTCCCGTTTCTCATTCTGTCCGTCTCTCACTTGATCTCTGTCTCTTACTGGGGAGATTATTCACATAATCTTCTGTCCAGCTTTTGAAAGCATCTGTCTAAAGCTGCAGGAATTCTTCTGTTTTTTGTAATCTGTCCATCAAGTCATCTTGTACAGTATACTCAGATTACGTGATACATTGTGCTTGGTGCTTTTATTTAAAAAATGTATATGTACACACACACACACACACACACACACACACACACACACACATATATATATATATATATATATATATATATATATATATATATATATATATATATATATATATATATATATATATATATATATATATATATATATATAGTGAATAATGAGAAAAGTCTTTGAGAACAAAACATGATCCAAACTAAATCCACCCAAAATTCCTGGAGATAAATCTCCAGATCTGAACTCCCAGTATTGAAAAAGCCTTTTATTTTTTATTAAATATTTTACAAACAGTTAAAGAAACAGCACAACCTGCAAATTATTATTATTTTCTTCTTCCTCAGACATTACCTTTCAGTTGTTTTAAGATGTAGCTTTTTTCCTTGGTACAAAAGTAGGCTTTTATGATTTTCTTTTTGCAACAAAACTAACCAAACATCCAAAACAATGCTGTATGCTTGGCTGAACATGCAAATACACCTATTGTATACAATGGCTTCTTTATTTGAAGGAAAATTTGCAACGCCTTTATTAAACTGTAATGGATGTAACATTTATTCTGAGAAAAGTATGCACACTGGTGTGCAGCATGCATCTACTTTTAATGGTTGCATCTTGTGACATCATGTCCTGTTTCTGATTTAGTTCAGATTTTTTGTTATTTGTTTTAGTTATATTTGAAATCCCAGTTTGTTTGTTTTTTTAATAATGTAACACACAAACATAAATCAAATTAGTTTAAATTGAGCCAAATTCTTTTAGAATACATAATAGAATAAAGCTAGTCCAGTGTACCACGGCCTAGAGGAAAACCACATTGTTCCTTCTGGATCCTAGGTTCAACCATCGGCCGGATCCTCCTCTCCTGTACCCTGGCATAGACTTTCCCAGGGAGGCTGAGGAGTGTGAGCCCCCTATAGTTGTAGCACACCCTCCAGTCTTCCTCCTTAAAAATGGGAACCACTACTCCAGTCGTCCAGTGCAGAGGTACTGTCCCTGACCTTCATGCGATATTGTAAAGACGTGTCAACCAAGACAACCCCACAATATCCAGAGACCTAAGATACACAGGGTGAATCTCATCCACCCCCGCTGCTTTGCTATTGTGGAGCTTGCAAACTACCTCAGTGACCTCAGCTTGGGTGATGGGTGAGTCCACCCCTGCATCCCCAGTCTCTGCTTATTGAAAGACATGTCAGTTGGGTTTAGGAGATCCTCAAAGTATTCCTTCCACCGTCTGACAACAGACGAAGTTAACAGCTCCCCACTTCCGCTGTAAACAGTGTCGATGTGGAGCTGCTTTCCTATCCTGAGGCACCGGACAGTTTGCCACAATGTCTTTGAGGCCGACTGATAGTCTTACTCAATGTTCTCCCTAAACTCTACCCAAGTCTGAGTTTTTGCTTCCGCAAACGCCCATGCTGCAGCACACTTGGCCTGCCGGTACCCATTAGATGCCACTGGAATACTGCAAGCCAACCAAGCCCCGTAGGACTTCTTCAGCTTGACAGCATCCCTTACTTCCAGTGTCCACCACCGGGTTTGAGGATTGCCGCCTCAACAGGCACCACAAACCTTACAGCCACAGCTCCTTTACAGCCTCGCCAACAATACAGTCATAGAACATGGACCATTCGGTCTAAATGTCTCCCTCGGAATCTGGTCAAAGTTTTTCCGAAGGTGATAGTTGAAAATCTCTCTCACTTGAGGTTCAGCCAGATGTTCCCAGAGGACCCTCACAATATGCTTGGGCCTGCCAGGTCTGTCCAGCTTTTCCTCCTGCCAGGGTTCAAGGGAGTATGCCCAACCAGTCCACATGTGTTTTGTGGATTTGGAGGAGGCATTCAACCGTGTCCCTTGTGGCATCCTGTGAAGGGTGCTCTGGGAGTATGGGGCAGAGGCGCTCTGTTAAGGGCTGTCTCGTCCCATATGAACAGAGTTGGAGTTTGGTTCACATTGCCGGCAATAAGTCAAACTTGTTTCCAGTGCTTGTTTCCAGAATTTCAAAGCACAGCCTTGGGCTGGAGGGGGTCTAGGACCTGGGTCCACAGGATTTCATGTCTATTATTCGCAGTCGATGTTGTTCTGCTGGCTTCATCGAGCATGGACCTTCAGCATGCACTGGGGCGGTTTGCTGTTGAGTGTGACGTGGCTGAGATGAAAATCAGCACCTCCAAATCTGAGGCCACTGTGCTCTACTAAAAAAAATGGTGGTTTGCCATCTCCAGGTCGGAGTAAAGTCCTTACTTCAGGTGAAGGAGTTTGTTCACAAGTAAAGCTTGGTTTATATTTCTGCGTCAAGTGACCGGCGTAACCCACGGCGCATGCAACGTGTGTAGCTGTGCATTTATACTTTTGCGTCTCTGTTGGTCTGCATTAACACTACCGAAACACTAGTTGGCAGTGAGGTGTAAATGTTCCTCTGTGTCAAGTTTCTTCGCTGCTTTTTTGCTTTTCCTGAACATTTCCAGGATGTACAAGTGGTGCAAACTCGCTCATTTTGAGGTACGAAACCGGCAGACGTGCAACAACTTTAACTATGAGGTAAACACAAAAAAAAACTTTCCATCCGGAGCTCCTTCACAGGACTCCACACTTGTAAACAATTGCTCCATCAGGCTCGCACCATTCACGCGGCTCTCGGTCCCGTCCAGACTCGTCAGCTACCAAGCTGACCAATCACAGAGCTTGCGCTATGCGTCGTTGCGACGTGTAGTTAAATTTTTTAAGAGGTGCACGTCAGCGACACCGACGGCCACGGCGAAGGGCTATGCGTCAGCGCCGTAGCATACGCCGGCGTTTGACGCAGAAGTATAAATCAGCCTTAAAAGAAGGATGGAAAAATGTTGTGGTAAAGAAGAAGCTGAGCTGAAAGACAAAGCTCTCGATTTCCCGGTCAATCTATGTTTCTACTTTAACCTATGGTCATGAGTCCAAAAACACACAACATAAGTAAACTGAACGTACCAAATTGCCACCATAGTCGAGCTCTTAGTAAGCAGTATATCTCTCTATAGCACCCCTATATCCATCATTAGCCAGAAATAAGTCAGGGGGAGTTCATCAAGATCTACCAAAGCTCAAACTCCCCTCCTGCTAACGGGAGGGAGCCCAGCACCCGAGGATCTAATAAGTTCAGGGCTCTTTTCCAGGATGCCAGAATGTTGTTAAAGGATCACCAAAGATGTTTTTCCATATTTTATACATGACATGTTTCAGTTGTTTCTGAGCATGTAAAAGAGTCCTTCACAGTAAATGCTTAAGCAAAATATGGACGTTAAAAGGACAGTTCACCCACAAACAAAAAAATGGTTCCTCATGTGGGTTCCAATCTTCCATCTGCTGAACACAAAAGAAGATATTTTGAAGAATGTTGTAAACTTGTAACCAATGACACCCAAAGTAGAAAAACAACTACTATGGAAGTCAATAGTTCCAAGCTTTCAACAGTCTTCAAAATATCTTCTTTAGTGTTTAACACAAGAAAGATATTTAAAGTGAAAAGTAAACAAGTAAAAGGCGAGTAAATGATGACAGAATTTTCTTTCTTTCTTGTTTGAACTATCCCTTTAATTAAAAAAAAAGATATGCAAATGTGATCACTGATGGTACTGATGACGAAAAGCTTCGTTGTTTTTTTTTCTTTCTCCAAATGTCATTTCCCATTAGAGTCTCCTCAGCACATTTCATCGTTTCTCTCCCTCTCCAACGCTTCCTCCATCTCATCCATTTCTCTCTCGCAATCCTCGCATCCCTCTCTCCCACAGCCCCCCAATAGCACCAGCCCATGAGGACTCTTGGTGCCCACCATTCCCCCAATGGACCCTTCGTCTCTGGGCATCCACATGTTGTCGATGTACGCTCCCTGCTGGCTTTGCTGAACCAGCCGGCTGACCGAGTACAGGCTCTCTCCGCCGCTTGTGATCACCTCATCATAGGGAGGTGCGTGGTTGGCAGCTCGGGCTTCCTCCAGACGGACACGGGCACGGTGTTTCATCTCAATCAATGTTTTGGTGTAAGAGTTTAGTGTGAATACGGCCGCCGCCATGCAACAGCTGAAGGAGATCCAGGCCATTCTGTGGAAGAAGAAGAAATGGAAATTAATATTCAGATTCATAATCTCTATCTATCTATCTATCTATCTATCTATCTATCTATCTATCTATCTATCTATCTATCTATCTATCTATCTATCTATCTATCTATCTATCTATCTATCCATCCATCCATCCATCCATCCATCCATCCAACCCAACCATCCATCCATCCATCCATCCATCCATCCATCCATCCATCCATCTATCATCTATCTATCTATCTATCTATCTATCTATCTATCTATCTATCTATCTATCTATCTATCCATCCATCCATCCGTACATCCATCTATCCATCCATCCATCCATCCATCCATCCATCCATCCCCAGGCGTATATTAATATAGCACTAGACAAAGGTATAAGGATACTCACGCAAATGACCAGCCGTAGTCCCAGGTCTGAGGTCTCCAGTCTTTGGGCCCAATGCTGACAGTCATCTGGAATACTGTTGTGTACATCATATGCGCCACCATTCCCATCATGCCTAAAATGGAGAAAGGTTATTATTCTGCTAGTTTAATTCTGTTAAATATCGATTATGAATAACATTTTCTTAAAGTTGGCATGAAAGAAATATGTTCTATTCTTATTTTTCTATGCATATAGTAGTGCTTGTTATAAATGATGCGTCTGTGCACATTATTTTCTAAACATTCTTTAATAATCTTTAATCAAATCTCGTAACCTTCCCTCCCCCATCAAAATGACTTTTCTTTACTTTTGGTCACATGGAGTGCATTGAGGGCGGGGCTATCAGTCTTTTAAGGGCTATTAGGGCATGTTTTGTTTTTAGCCTGATTTTGTCCATTTAATAATCTTTCTCTGTTTTGTTGGCATTACCCTCCTTCAAACAATCCAATCGGTTCCCAAAGGTTGAAATCTTGCAGCACCCTTCTTTTTTCTAACTTCAATACCATTTCAATTGGATGTACAGTAAAGTCAAAATTATTAGCCCCCCTGTGAATTAAAAAAATATATATTTCCCATATTTCATCCTGCTGTGTTTGGTGTTTTATTCGCGGCATGGTGTTTTCATTCTCTGCCTCTTAGTCTAGTTGGTTTCGGTTTCGGTTGGCACTGGAACATGCATGTCCCATCTGTGAGTGCACGGTAAGTGTTTTCATTTATCGTGTGCTTGTGTCTTACATTCAGTCTCCTGTTGATGTTGTGTTTAGCATGTGGTTCATGTGCCACACGCTTTAATGTTGTGTTTCACGTTAATGAGTTTTCTCATTGGCTGTGTGTTGTTTAGGTCCTAAACATGGCTTGTGTTGTGTTTTTGTACCATGTGCTTCCCTATCTATTGTCTTGTCCCATCCACCTGTTTTTTTTTTTAGGGTTTTTTCACCTTTATTATGACAGGACAGTAGAGATGTCAGAGAGGAAAGCATTAGGGAAGGATCGCCAAAGTACCTGGCACCAGGAATCAAACTCAGGTCGCCATGAACACATCGGTGCTATATGTCAGCGCACAGTACCACTAGGATATTGTTGCCAACTACCACCAACCTTGTTATCCTATTATGTATCATTATGTTCACCTGCCCGCTTGTCAGTTTTATTGATTTGCTTTCCCTATTTATTCTCAGAGCGTGTTCTGTCCTGTGCTGGTCCATCACTGTCTCCTTCGTGACTGTCATGCCAATCCCTGCCAAGTCAGGTCCAGTCAGTTTGTCTTGATTAGTGATGGGTCGTTCATGAACGATTCGTTCATTTTGAACGAATCTTCAATATGAATTGGGCAGGTAGTGCAGGTAGTATTGTTAATTTCAAGTCTTCATCTTATTGGCAGAAGCCAATCATACGCATTTAGAGCCGGAAAAAGAATTGATCCGCTCACCTCTCAAGTCCCCTATCGGGTCTGAGTCACTCGTTCATCACGGGCCAATCATACGTGTTTAGAGCTGGAAAAAGAATTGATCTGTTCATCTCTCGAGTCCTCTATCGGGTCTGAGTCACTAGTTCCTCACGGGCCAATCATATGCGTTTAGAGCCGGAAAAAAAAATGAACCGTTCATCTCTCGAGTCCTCGGGTTTGAGTCATTCTGTCACGTGATGAACGAACGATCATGGCTCCTATTGGCTTAGACTGTGTACATTGGTTAAGATTATATGTGACTGTCAGTGTAACATGAATGAACCCCTGACATTTAAAGACATGAAGAGGTGAGCTGAGCAAAGAGACAAAAATGCCTTCATAGACAAAAGAGCAGGTAAACATTGAATTATTATTTTCTCCTTCTTATAGTATTCTAGTTATGACTTTTTTGTCGTCCAATCAACCTTTTGGGCTAGTTGTAGATGTGTTTGGAAGCAATTCGTAACATTTTAATTATATTTTGGCAAATTGAACCAAATCAACGAAATGACTCAAAAAAGATTCGTTCATCTTGATGAACGAGACTCAAAGATCCGAGTCAGTAAAATGATCCGAACTTCCCATCACTAGTCTAGTCTATTTTTTTCTCCCCACAGGGTTGTTTAAGTTGTTTTGTTTGTTTTCTTTATGTAATAAAGGCCTCCTCTCTTTTACCCCAAGCCGTGACAAAATGTTTAACAGAGCCAGGTTTTTTTTACTGTACTTCCTATAATATTACTTTTTCTGGGGAAAGTCTTACTTGTTTTATTTCTGCCATAATAAAAGCTGTTTTTTTAATTAAAAAAATTAAAAACATTTTAAGGTCAATCTTATTAGCCCCTTAAGCAATATTGATTGTCTACAGAACAAACCACCATTATACAATGATTTGTCTAATTACCCTAACTTGCCTAGTTAATCTAGTTTAGCCTTTAAATTGCATTTCATGCCGAATACTAGTATCTTAAAAATATCTAAAATATGATGTACTGTCATCATGGCAAAAAAAACAAACAAACAAACAGTTATTAGAAATGGGTTATTTAAACTATATTGTTTAGAAATGCGTTGAAAAAACCTTTACGTTAAACAGAAATAAGGGGGAAAATATACAGGGGGAAAATAATTCAGGAGAACTAACAGTTCTTACTTCAACTGTATATAAAAATATGGTAAAAAGGACAATCTTAACTTCCGTTGCTGAATTTAAAGCTCTCAGACGCAAACGCACCAGACAGCACAGTGCAGATGGCAGCAAAAGCGTTGATCTTGAGCGCATACATCTCCTTATTCAGGCACAGCAGCAGCAGCTCCACCCACATCATCAGAAAACCCATGGCCAACAGGCTGATGTATGCAAACTCTGAGACCACCGAGAGCCACAGAACTCCTACAGGACACGGACAGAAGCAGGAAAAGCACTTTAATGTCAGTTTTAAGGGTTATTATGGATGTGCAGCTCACAATCATCTCACCTTGGGTTTCTCCAGGGGTCAACTCAATGAAACTCCGACATTTCTCACCTGTGAATAATAAACACTGTTTGGCAGATGTCTTTTGGGGTGATAGATCTATTTTTCTACAACCACAAAATCTGAAAAAGTTGGGACAGTATGGAAAACATGCATAGGAGCATTCTTCAGAAGCATAGAGGGCCAATTTGCCAACAAATACATGAGAAAATTATTGAAATGTTTTAAAACACTGTTCCTTAAAGAAAGATATATAGACATTTGGATATTTCACCTACAACAGTGCATAACATTATTAAAAGATTCAAAGAATCTGGAGGAGTTTCAGTGTGTACAGGAGTGTACTGTCAAAACTGTACTGTGCCACAAGGAAGCCCTATGTTAACAGTGTCCAGAAGCACTGTCAACTTCTCTAGGCTTTGAGGAATCTGGAATAGACAGTCACTCAGTTGAAACGTGTACTGTGGTCAGATGAATCAGTATTAAAGTTATTATTTTGAGAACAAATAATGAGACAATTTGAGTTGAGAACGGAATTGAGCATCAAGGCCTGACAGTGTAAACGGGGCCTAACATTGTGAAGCATTTTGCCTTGTTCCTCATTTTCATTCAGTGCCACCTAGTCTGACCTCTCGCCTGTATTTTGACCCCGATTACTGGATTTCCCTTGGTATACTGTTTTGCTACTGCTTTTGACCCTTGCCTGCCTTAATAAACTGCATTTGAGTCCACAAGTCTTTTGTCAGTGTCACTTCTTAACAGTGTCAGTGCCCTCTGTCAAGGTAACTTGCACTTCTGTAATGGCACTAATAAGTGACAAGTACATAGAGATTTGGGAGCACAATATGCTGCCTTTTTTTTCCAGGGACACCCATGCATCAAAACGACAATGCAATACCACATTTACACACATTACTAAATCCTGGTTCCATTCCCGACCTGTCTTTAATAGAAGATGTGTGGCGCATTTTGAAGCGCAAAATGCAACAAAGAAGACCTTGCACTGTTGCTCACCTTAAGACTTGTTTGCAGGAAGAATGGGACAAAATTACACCTGAAACACTTCAACACTTGTGTCTTCAGTCCCTAAAGTGTCATCCTGTTACCTTCACTCATCCTAC